GACATGAACGACGACGGCTAATTTTTCAAATTTGTATTTCTAATCGAGTGCTGTTTTCCATCTCAGTGATTCTGTTACACGGGTCTCAAAAAACTTTTCCTTGAGAAGCTGCCGATCGTGTTATAGTGAACAGACTGCAGGATGTAAAATGCAGTTAAACTTGAAATTCTTCAACTGATTAAAACTTTTAACTACCATTTCGATAAGCTTTATACAACAACTGTTTTCGCTACGAATTGGTCCGATGGTTACTAAATGGCCGAATTGCATATTTCAGTTAAATTACCATATTTAGTTGCCTATGGCCGATAGCCAACTTCAGGCGTGGCAACCTGAAGTTTACAGTAATGTCTTTGATTTATATCAAAACTATATACCGGGCATATATGAAAATTGCTTCTTTACTGTATGGAATATTGCTCCTTTTCAGATTGCCGGCGGGCTATTTTCGAGAAACAAGCTAAATGACTAAATGATTATCGCGAGATTCGTAAATGAAATGCAAGTTCATTTTTCAACCGACGACGTCCACGGCGTCGCTGTCGTCGTTTCTTAAACTCCCTAATAGAGTTAACGGCTGATTTAAGATTCCTCACGGAAAAATAAATTTCTCACTGAGAAAAATTTGGCCAAAGCTAGCGTTTGAATCTAGAGAAATCTCAAATCACAAATTATTTAAAAAATGTCATATTATTTTCTGACGATTAGCTCGAACGGACCAGTTTAATAATATTTACAGGGCCAAAATACCATTTCCGGAAGATTGTCACCCACTGTGTTGAATTTCTTTCCATGAACAACCAGTCTGCGAATAAATTAGATAACCATTTTTAAAAAATTAGCTAACTCTGTTATGGTGAAACAGTATTCTTCTACAGTAAATGGTTTGAACCCGGACGATCAAACTACACTATTACAAGTATTCTTCTAAAAAGAAAAAACAGCAAAGCGTTTAGTCATACTCATTTACTATCTTACAGACCCTTGAAATCTCGACTCCTTGCATGACACCACGCTGGACACTTGTTGTTTATAAGAATAGCGTATAGCTTAACTCACGATTGGGTTTAGGGTTTGGATAATCGGTGGATATTTACCCATTTGCAAACTCATCGTGTGACTCTTCAGTCCACTTTTCAAAAGCCCTCCTTCTTCGTTCCTTTTCTTCGTTCACCGGGTCTTCTATGAGTTCTGCTCAATTAAGAAGATGTTAATTTAACATACCAATGTAAAAATACTTCCACGAGAGCGTTGCTGAAAAAATTTGCATATATTCTGAAAGTCCTGTCACAGAACATGCCCAGGACGATACAGGCGCCAAAATTTTTGCTTAAAAATGGATGGGAAGTAAAATGCAGTCAAACTTGAAATTCTTCAAGTGATTAACAGATTTAACAACCATTTCGATTAGTTTTGGACAACAAATATTTTCGCTACGAATTGGTCTGACAATTAATTCATTACTTCGCGTCTGTTTTTAGTCTGTCTGTTGTGGACTGACCAGAAGTTGAAATCTTTCTAACCTGAAGTTTACAGTAATGTCTTTGATTTATATCAACACTATATACAATATATACAATATTTTTTTTACAACTGATTTTCTTCTTCGATGATACTGTGACACGTATCTTTTCTCTTTGTTCAGGTGTAAAGAGTATCATGCAGGAAGACGAAACCCTGACCGGGATTGAGAGTCTTCGCATGCTAAACAGACGGAGGTGAGGTCTCACATGCTGTGGTACATCGCCAGTAAGCGGCTCTTATTGGAAATCCTCGTTAGAAATTATCATTTCGACAAAATTTCAGTTGTACTTAACTTTCCTTCGAATTTATAGCTGCAAATTAATCGCTGTACCTTCCATAACTTTGTAATCAGCTGGAGCACAGACTCTTTCCATCGTCGCACTTGATTCCTAAGATTGAAGAGGAAGGCAACAGTTTGTTGAATTAAGAGTGAAAAGCATTGTTGAAATTTCAAGCAAAAGGGAAAAACGTGGAAAAACTGCCACCGACATTGACGGCACCACTTACTCTGAAGTCTTTTTCTTCCGAAGGTAGCCTTTCAATTTTTCGCTTTGTCCTATGCGTAAGTTAAGGACACTTGTTAGATCATATGTTTTAACTAGATCTGAGAAAGTGAACAAAGGAGCAACAGCTTACCCCCTCTTCTCTGGTTTGTTTTCTTCCATATCGGCGGTTAATTCACTGAGAAGAGAGCTTCAGATCTAACCCAAAAATCACCGTTTCACGTGATTTTGACGTCACATGAAATGTCATCAAAATTAGCATAGGAGGTTCAATCGTAAAAATGCAGACAATAACAACGGAATGTCTTGCATAAATCTCCATGAAAAAAAAGATTTATCTCTCGATAATGACATCGAGCATATTTCTCTACTATCCAAATATGCTACAAGCCTTGAAAATCATGTGAAAAAGCGATATTTGGAGATTCCACTATTGTAGTGGACCAGGTCACGCCATTAGACGTGCGGTAGTTTATAGACTGGAAGATTTTACGCCAATATATACGTCGGTGTTTATACTGTAAGATTTTAAGCCGTTAACTAACGGCGTAAAATCTTACAGTATATAATATACCGACTGAAAGAAATTACGCCGTTAGTTACTGGTGTAAAATATAAACACTACCGACTGAAAGAAATTACGCCGTTAGTTACTGGTGTAAAATATAAACACTACCGACTGGAAGAAATTACGCTGTTAGTTACTGGCGTAAAATATAAACACTACCGACTGAAAGAAATTACGCTGTTAGTTACTGGTGTAAAATATAAACACTACCGACTGAAAGAAATTACGCCGTTAGTTACTGGCGTAAAATATAAACACTACCGACTGGAAGAAATTACGCTGTTAGTTACTAGCGTAAAATCTTACATTTAAATTCTGATGATTTGCGATTTATTCAGATTTTCATTTGGTTTCGTTTCGCAAATTACAGTAAGCCGCCAAAAACATAAATTTGACGTCGCGAAGGACTTAACAGTTTTCTTTAACGCAGCAGCGTTTACAGTACATGCCATGAATACCGACTATCATGAATCAACTCTCCGCGTTGGTACAATTTCATAAATATCGTGTTGTCGAATTAACCACACAACTGTTCACATTTACCAAAGACTCTGCTCCTTCTCTACGTGCCTGTTTATTTATCATAAAGATTGTTTTTCAGAAAGACAAGTATTTGATTCATTTCGTCACTTTGCTTCGCTTTGTGTGAACACAAAGCTGACTAAGCATACTTGCTGGTTGCGGAGTTATGTTAGAAACCTTTAGCAAACCACGATGGCGACGGCAACGAGGACGTAGTAAATGAGCCATCGTTCATAGCAGAGCAATGGCTCAGCACGTGCGTTTTAAGACTGTGTACATTCCTTAACCGTCCTCCCCAAAATAACAACGTGAAATCATCAGAATTCGCGTGGTCCGGAGAGGAAACCCCGACGGCAGATTATTTCAGTTTTCATTTGGAGCTCAACGCCGCTGAGGTTAACTTGCGGCGCCGTAAGAGACAGCAAACACATTCAGTCGTTCGTGAAATTCCAACTAAAAATATGTATTCAGATTTATATCGAAGTCTTCCTAAAAAAATCCCTCTTATGTAATCATTGCACGTGACAGCGCGGTTTGACAGCGCGTAACATGATTACTTCGAGCCACTTGTAGGTTGGAGATGTCCTCACCAAAAAAGATAAAACGGACTTCGCAAAGGACTTTGAGAATTTTTTTTCCAACGCTTAAAGTCGGGAGTACCGATGATCAAGATAGTCAACTACCAACGGGAAAATGTGAAAACGACACCGCTGCGTCGCCAGAGAATCCGAGAGACGAAATACTTAAAAGAGGCCCCAGATTGCAGCAAAGGGCATCAAATGTCACTCAAAATTCAAAAATTTTCCGAGGGAGGCCCTCCGTGCCCCTCTCTAAAGGGGAGGGGGACACCCCCTCCCATACCCTCCCCCGGCATCGCCTCTGCCGATACAGAAGCCGTAAGGGCTTCTGGTGCCTGCCGCCTATTACAATATCTATCTTTCTTTTGAAAATTCTAGCTATAACTTGTCTGAAGTACGGCCACCTCAAGCCTGTGAGACAAAACTAATACTACCTTGGGGTGTTATACCAACAAGAATCTCGACTGTATTGTGCACGTGGTGTTTGTACAATGAAAATGTCTTTGCAAGGGTCAAAAGGTTTGTTGGCTTCTTAATGAAGAGTTCAAAGCAACCAGTGATTACAGTTGTTTTATTTCCAAATGAAAACTGGAAACATTGAGGCATTGTTTATATCAAGCTTTCTCTGTCTGGCCAGTAAATGAAAGGTGACAGTCTGACATCCATAGCTTTCATCCACACCTTAAGTGTTCTTGAAATTGTAGGCATTGAGATATTAAAACGGTAAGCTATTTCTCGAAAAGGAATATTAAGTCTTACTTCAATTAGAGGTATTAACGAGTCAACACTTGAGATCGGCGGGAGACATGAAGAGACACTTGCATGAACACAAAATTCAGTAGTTCGTAAGAGGGAGGTCCAGTGTAAACTCTTACTTTTTCGTCATCATTTTCGAAGTCTGTCTCTGAAAATCCATAGATAGTTTTTGTGTACAGATAATCAAACGCAAGAATTCAAAGGACTCATGCGCTAAATGCACATGTGACGAGGAGCAACATCTATATTCACGGACCTCTTTAAACCACTACGCTCCAAACATTTCAGGTTTGTGCCATTTGGGATTCAACTGTTTAGCCCCCCAAAAAATTGAAGCTGTGTTTTTTTCGAGTTAAAAAACCGACGGACGTGGGTCTCGGACGAATTTATTAGGGAGATGCGACTCGTACCCAGTCGTCGTTAGTCCTAAAAAGGGCGAGGGAGATGGGAAAGAATCATTTAGGTACATTAAATTGTTTGAATTAAGAACACTGTATTTATTTTAGCTTTAAATTTAACCTTCCACTGCTATGTACAAATTACTGGTGAAGAAAAAACGTCCACTCTGAGTCATTGTTCGAAATATAGTCGCAATATTTATCGATATTATACTAAAAGTGACTTTAAAATTCTTTACATAACGCTAAAAAAAAAGAAATTGAGTAGCGCACAAATTACTACGCCATTACATTTCCAGATGTTTGGTATTGTAATTAAAAATATCATCATTAAAGATATCAATTAATCCAAACATTGATCTGAAATTGAACATTTTTCTCTAAGAAAGTATTCTTTACAATTGTACATTCATTAAAAAAGTGAAAAAAATTGTTATCCCTCTTTGTGAAATTGTTAATGGTATAATAAACTGAAATTATCGTTTAGCTTTCTGATTGAGAAGCTTCATATTGTTGTAATCTGATGGTTGTCCAATTAAGAGCAGCTTGAAGCAATTTTCGACCGAGCGTCCAGTGTAATTCACAATTGCTTCGGTTTCGCGATATTTCGCTCTGCATCGGGTCCAGAAAACACGCACCACTGTCTGAGGCAATCAGATTCAAAACTAAAGCCGATGGCGACTTGGTCGCTCGCTTCTTCCCGGCATGCAATCGAAGAGCGCTCTACACTGTTGAAAAAATGTATATTTGAGAGAATACAACAACAGCTTAACAATAACGTAGATTGTTTGCAACAGAATTTACTAACATGGCGTGATAAGTACTCAGCGATAGGTTTTAAGATAAAAATGTTTTCTTTGATACAAAACTACTAATCAGATGCGAAGTTTTCCTTCTTGTTTAGCAAAATGCTTTGCAAAGGAATCAAGTCCTACTGTAAAAACATTGACTTTTGTAGTGTGCATCTAAATATTTTACGATAACAAATACAATCGTTTCGCTTAAAACAACATTAAAAAAATAGAAAAAATTGTATTTTTTGTAAATAGTCTCTATACTGAGTCTCTGAGGAACTCTTCATGGTTTTTCGGTGTTTTTTCAATGCTAATTTCAAACTCTTAAGTTGGGCGCGATTTTTAGAAGGTACAATACAACAACTCATAATTTCTCAACCACTCTCATGTTTCGCGGGTTCGTCTAAAATCCTCTTAGAGTTTTCAGTTCATTAATAATTAAATAATGCCTCGAGGTTTTTTGTCTCTACATACGCCACGAAAAAACATAACTATTGGCGAACCCGTAATAAAAATTGCTTGCGACGTAAATGAATTCTAAAAAGTTTAACGTGAAATCTAGATTGGGGTAATTAAACACGAACTGCATGCTCCGCGCTCTGAAGGTGATTTGCCTCCCTCAGGGGTAGACACCGCATGTTTGAGCCTCTTCCTTCGGGGAAGACTACTTCTGTTGGTTGCGGTTGCTGGCCAGTATGTACAGATTGCACGGTGCATTAGGGTTGTCGGAAGGTTTACTCTCAACAACTGCAATGCTGTTTGGGAAATAAAATAACGAAATTAATCCTGTTTGACACAACTTGTACATTCAAAACCACACTTTGTCTTCCTTATTCTGTTGTCTTTTTCCTCTGTTTGCCAAAAGCTAACCCATAAACCTGTAAATGAGATTGCCTGAATGACTTTCTGCTGTCTAAGTGTATAAGTGACTGACTGAGGGACCCACGGACGAACAGACGAACTCACTTGTCATCTAATTCTCTGTCTGCCTCTCTGGCTGTCTGGCGGTCTGTCTGTCCGGCTGACTGGCTGTCTATCTATCTGTCTGTCTGTCTATCTATCGGTCTCTCTATCGGTCTGTCTTTCTGTCTGTCCGTTTCTTTACCTGTCTAACGGTCTTTCTGTCTGTCGCCCTATCTATCGGTCTGTCTATCTGTCTGTCTATTGGTCTGTCTCTCTACCCGTCTAACGGCCTTTCTGACTGTCTGCCTGTCTGCTGGTTAGTCTGTCGGTCTGTCTGTCTTTCTGTCTGTCTGTCTGTCTGTCTGCCGGTTTGTCCGTCGGTCTGTCTGTCTTTGTTTCGGTCTATTTATCTAGCTTCAGGTATGTCGACGCTCTGAGAGGGTTGTTAACACGAGCGAGATCAGACAGTGCACGGATCGAACTGGCCGTAAGTAATGCATTCCTACCTCTCGCATCCCAGCAGTCTAAACGTGCGTCGGGGATCGTTCATCTCGACATTAATCTTAAAGAAAAGGTAAACATGGTGAACAATAACCAAACGATCAAACAAACAAGCAAGCAGTACTCTCTAAACACAACAGATCAATAACACTTGTGTCACTTTCAGTCAATTTTACAGTTCTGTGCTCTGTTGCCTGACTTTAGAACAGAGAGGAAACTAGTTCGCATGACAGCGAGGTTGGTATCATAACGAGGTGAACCGCAGCCTCGCTCCTGTTCAAAGGCTTAGCAACTAAGAACAAGACCCTAAAACGGACTGTTCCATTCCAAAAAGTTTCCCATGAAAAGCGTGTCGTCGACAATGGTTTCCATTGCTAACATGGACTTAATAACGTCCAATCCTTTTACCTTTCCACTGTGAAGACTTCTTCCCTGCAACCCATGCTCATGAAACGCTAGAACGCTACCTTGTAAACAGACTGAAAAATAACAACAACGACAACAGTGATTTACCTTAAACGTTTGCTCAATTACGATTTGATTGCACGTGTCTTCCCGCTCTTTACATTGGATACGTGCCTTTGCTTTCAGGTCTTATTGGTCAGTTGTGTTTTCTACGTTCGATCTGATTGGCCATTGCAATTGGCGCGGTGCCAAACACCAGGGCCCAGTTGTTCTTAGGCTGATTGGCACTAATCCAAGGTTAAATGTTAATCCGGGGTTCTTTAATTCTTTGTTCAAAAGCCCTTTTTGGATAATTTTCTCTGTTCTTATCGGAGCATCCGATCACCATATTGTAGACAACTTTCATTTTAAGCCTTCAGAATTAAAACCAGATTTCACACTAACCCTGGGTTATCTTAATCCAGCTTAGAACAACCAGGCTCAGGCCACCATGTCTAACAACATCGGACACAAAAAGAAACGCGGCTATCTTCTTCACAATAACCTTTCAACGTTTAACGTGGAAACTTGGACTTTCATCTGCTTTTTTTTTTTTTTTTTTTTTTTCATTAACGAACAGATTCCATGCTGCCACGCGTCTGTTCAGTGATAGATTACAGATGACGTCAAAATTTGGTACGAACAAAAGAGTGTCACAGAAGGCAAAGTTGAGTGTGTCTCCGATATGTGTCACAGACCTACGGCAACATGGAATCTAGTTATTTTTTTTCTGATGAAAAAGCAAAATGCCTATGCGTCTGACTTCCAATGGATCAAACGAAAGAACCAATCAAACTGCGTGTATGATTCAGCTTATCATAAAATTGAAAATACTTACCCACAGATTCTGGCTTGATATCAAAATGTATTTCTGACAATTGTCTTCTGAACTGTTTCGTTTTGCCTTCCAGATTGACAAACTTGACTATTTCTGTTCCCACAAGTTAAACGGAAGATAAAATTTTAGCTGACATCTAATAGGCCTAGCACTCAAAACTGGAACGACGACAAAGTACGTCGCGAATATTCGGTACTGACATTTTCAGAATCTAATTTTGGTAATTTTTGACAGATCGCTGGTCCCATTTACACAGCTAGGTAAAGAGCTAAGAAATGCCTTGCTCAGGCAAGACAAGGCTGCAATAAGGAAATCAGTCCTCGTTTCTAGAGGGTTAACTTTTCAATCATGTGCCAATAAATCAAGTGCAAAGCGGACCACTCTAACGAAAGCTGCAGCAATTTCATGAGGTGCTATTAATTACGTGGTACAAGATGGCTCTCAATATTAAATCTGAGGATAAAACCCTTGTGTTACCATTCAAATGAAAGCTTCTACGCAACACTTTCATGTGGTGCTGTTCATTATCCTGAACAAGGTTGCTCTGATTTCTAGGATTGCGGATGAAAAATAAGAGTCTAACCATTCAACGATACCACTATGCTGTTTTTTCATCTCTCGCTGTTTATTATCATCACTTTGCCGAGCATTGTGGCGCATTTCGCGGGCCAATTTGCTCGCATGCCCGCGTGATTGATCCGACTGGTTTGTTGTCATTTTTTTTTTCAGTTTCTTGTATTTTCTCAACGCCCTCCAAAGTGATAATGATATTAATGCAGTTTACGTTCTTGGGCATAAATATGTTTTGGGCCATTCTCAGAGCAACCTTGCACAAGATAGTGAACAGTTCCATAGTAAGAACCACGCTGTATGGTACAATAAATAATAAAACGACTCTGAGTCGGGCCAAAAACATATCTATGCCCGCAAACATGAACTCTATCGTTTTGTTATGCTATACAAGGTGGTGCTAACTTGTGAGTCTGTGCGTGAAACCCTAGAGTGTAACCATTTATATGAAAGCTAGTGAGCAGTACTTTATTGTGGTACTGTTTGTTTTCCAAGTTTTACGCAAAAGTAATTCATACAATCATTGTTACAAAGCTGAAAGGATACTGTTGAATGAAACAAGAACTGTATCTTTTTCCAAGTGGTCCACACTATCCACTTCAATTTTTTTCCCTAAAATATTATACAAAATAGACGGTAAAACAAACAGTCAAAACAGTATATGCATTTTAGCAGAGATAACAACAATAATTGTAACAATAATAATGGTAATAGCAATTTGTAATGAAATAAATGGCTTCGTAGCTCAGTTGGTAGAAACGCCCAACTAGTATCTGGACATTTTCAGCCTTCTTTTCTGCAATTGCTAAAATTTTAGTCCAACTTTGGGGACCATTTCTTTGCTTGATAATGGTTACTGTAACAATAACAGTAATAATTTTTTTAGGAAAAACAGACAAGTTTTCCTTACCTTCAGGTAGTTCTGTGAACCAATTTGATAAGGAATTCAAATTCACGCATTCAAAATGAAGGCTACCATCGGCCCTACCGAGAGAACAGGATAAAAAAAAGTATCATTAACCCTTTCCACCCTAATATCAATATGCAAATTCTCCATACTGTTCTATATACATTTCCTAAGGTGCTGACAAGGAGAATTTGTTAAACAATCAAGAGCTTCTTTGGCTGGTGATCATTTCTTTATTCTCGTGACCTTAACGTGTGATCCAGGGTGATATTGTAAGGAGAAATTAGATGCTAGTCACCCTTAGGGGTTAAACAGAAAAATATCTCAGAAAAACAAGTTACCCCTTTCACAAATCAGCTTGATCGCACAGGTTTCACTGTATCATAGCGGAGCTCGCAGAGCGTAGCCCCATAATTATAGAAAATGGTAGTAGTAACCCATCAAGCCGAAAAAATTTGGACTTACGACCGTACGACCATACAAGATGCTACTTTTAACATGCGTGATCAACTGTACCGCGGGCACGCCAACGCCACGGCTTTGTCCAGAAGTCCAGTGGTCAGTGCACTGGGCTCCGAGTCGGACGACCCGGGTTCTAGTCCTGATCGGGGCAAGGCGTTGTGCCCTTGAGACGTGCGGAAAAAAAATGCGAGCTCCGCTTCTAGGTTTGGCTAAATCTATATATTACTTTACTTACAGTTCTCTCACTCCAACACATATCATGGGGTATTCCAGGTCTTGTTTCACAAGCGGTTCAAACAGTGGCGGGGGTGACGGAATATCCACATCATAGTACTGCCAACAGAAAAGAAAACATGAAGTAAGCGCTGAGGAGAAGCTACACTTCACTGTTGCTCTCGGATTTAGTTAGCCTGCGAGCAGGCAATCATTACATGCGCTGCAGGACGCGTGTTCCTCCGCTCGCAGGAAGATTTGAGACGAGTCGGGGAGAGGTTTGCTGGGGGTCTGGTTGATTAGTACCAGACCCCTTACAGACCTCTCGCCGGCTCGCGAAGAAGAGCTAATAAAAAGGACCTGCTCGCAATCTAGATTTAAGTTAACATTGATTCTCTAGAAACTCAATCCTCACTCTCGATTCTCTCAAACATCGAGCAACGATGTTATATTCGAGTTTCAAGACATTCGGGCTCGTTTAAAAATCATCGAGGTCCACCGAATGATTACCTGCACTTTCATGAACCTTCCCCACGGCTCATACCACTGGTAGAGAAAGACACTCTTCTGCACCGCTACACAGAGGTACACCTGACTGTTGTACGGGTTATTTACTGTAAAAATAAAAATAATAAAAACAACAAAAACAGAAAAGATTAAGCTGAATTGTAAGGGAGCTATAAGCTTGAAAAAAATGGAATGTCATTGTGGGTCTGTTTAACAAATAGTGTCTACGTTTCCGTGCGTCTGATCAGAATTAAAATTAAACCCCAGACGACCTCAGAATGTGGTAAGACCAAAAGGGTGCCGCACGAGGTGCAGCCGAGTTTGCCCTTGCTTTTCTGACCACCTTCTGACGTCTTCTGTGATCTGTTACTATAAAAACAAACGGCAACATAGAAGCTATTTGTTTTATTAAAAAAAAGCCAACTGTTTTTCATGGTGGCGTCATCTCTGTGTCTGTCCTCCTGTAGATCATAAGTAAGGTCACCGTGGTTATGTGAAAACGATCGATAATTGATCGATAAAGTCGCACGAATCTAATATGTCACAACCGTGTTTGAATACTATTACATTACACACCATCGACCAATGAGAGCGCACGCAGAATCACTTGTTTTTTGATAAAGTTATTAATTATCCAGTTGTGTAAGTGTACGTTATTTTCCGTTCCATTCGCCTAGCGCGACGAGTACCTATGGATGTAAAATTTAACACGAGAATAGCTTACCAATACAGCACTTGGAACAACCTCTTGTTTCGGAAATTCTGTTATTCCTTTAGGAGAGAGAATTAAAGAAATAAAAAATGAAAATAGTGTACCCAATGAAGAGCTCTATAACTAGCTAGTAACTTCAGATACGGTAAGACAGTTTCAACTTAATATTCACAAAACGTGAAAGCTGAAATTGCGGGCTTTTATTGTATAAAATTGATTTTGAATACGAGGTTTTTTGCACAGTACTGGCCTGAAAACGGGTATAGATTTTGATAGTGATGGCCTTAAATCGGACACGATTTTAACCCTATACACCCTAAAATCAATATGCATATTCTCCATACTGTTCTCGAGACACTTCGTAAGGTTCTGACAAGGAGAATTTGTTCAACGATCAAGGGCTGCTTCAGTTGGTGATCATTTCCTTTATTCTCATGACTAAATGTTTGATACAAGGGTGATATTGTAAGGAGAAATTTGATGCCAGGCACTCTTGGGGGTCAAAGATTCAATGGATTCTCAAAACAGGTGTAACTAAAAGAAACAAGACCTGAAAACGGATATAGATTTTAGAGACCAGATCCGGTTGTTTAAAGAGTGGATGACGCAATCCACGGGGTAATTCTCTGTCTGGTGGATAGCGCAGTACGTTTCGACAATATTTATCAGCGTGATACCGATTTACCCTCAAGATACTGTTATCTACCCTTTGAAAATGGGTATTGAACATGGTACGTCCTGGTCTGCATTAAAATCAGAATTTGGAGAACTGGGCAGCACATCCCCACTCAGATTTCCGGGGGTAGTTCTTCCCCTCCCCCTCCCCCCCCGGTTATCCTGACCCCCGATCCTCCCGGTCTCCGGGCCCCCAACCACCAGATTTCATGTTTGTTACTCAGAAACTCTACCTTGTGACTGTGGCAAAGAAAGCTTGCTGCCTATCGTGCAGTGTTTGCAGGCTGTGCATGTACACACAACTGGGAGATCCTACAAATACAAGTCACATCAATTACCATCTGATCGACATCTAACATCTCATAACCCTGTCTGTGTAGTTTCCAGTACACATGTGAAGAGAATAATGAAAATCATCTAGAGCAAGCACTGATTATATTTTGGACAAAGAGAGTTAGACTGGATTTTCTTTTAAAGCTTTCAGGTCTGACACCAGATTTCACAGTAACCCTGGATTATCTTAACCCAGCTTTGAACAACCCGGCTCTTATCAGTTGGTGATAATAAGGGTTAGGTCGGGAACATTACCTTGAAGTGACACCATCACGTTTTGGAAAACTGACAGCCACGTACATCTCTTAGCACAAATCTATGAAAAAAGGCAAGAAAACTGGCGAGTGAATTATAAAGATATGCATAATAAAAGGTTAATGATAATGATAATGATAACAATAAGGAATTTATAGAGCGCTAAAACTATAAACAATATTCAGAAGCGCTTTACATAAGTTAAAGTTTTAAACTAATTAAAATTAAGATATTCTAAGGCAATAAACATTAGAACTATTGAAACAAATTAAAAGCTTTCCTAAATAGAAATGTTTTAAGTTGCTTTTTTAAAATGGTGAGGCTACTACTTGTTCTTATAGTCAATGACAGTGAAGGTTTGTCGTATACTAGTTTGTAGCATACCACTGATAACCCTTTACACCCTAACATCAATATACATATTTTTCATACTGTTCTTTACACATTTCTTAGGGAGCTGAGGTGAGTTAACCCTTTCACTCCCAAGATCTTATTAGTAATTCTCCTTACTATCTGCCATACAATTCTTATGATGTTAGTTCAGAGAATTTGGTATTGGATCAACTAATAATCCTGTAATTGATATTCTTCTCTATTCTCATCACCTGCCTGCTTGATATTGTATTGATATTGTAAGGAGAAATTCTGTCTTGGTCACTTATGGGAGTTTAAGGGTTCATGTAATTTCTTATACAAGTTGAGAATAGCCATGGTTCTACCTGTTCCATTTCTGCTTCATGTAATTGTTCACTGAAGTTCAGAGAATAAACACCTTCCTCTGCTCCAACAATGATGTGTCTCTCTATGAAAAAAATTCAACAAAGATGCTATTAAAAAAAAGGTAAAGCTAAAAGTATGTTAAAACCCTGTCGTCGCAAAATTTCATGTTCTTCCAAAATGCAGACTTGGACGATCACATAAATTTTTGGAAGCATGGCATGAAACCACCTAACAAATATCAATAAAAATAACAGTAAAAACAATCATAATAATTTCTGTCTCACCTCCTGTGCTAGGATTTACCCAAAGCCCAGTACAATAGATATGAAGTGGACACTCATTAAAGATCTTGGAAAAACATGTTGTAATCTGCAGAGCAAAAATAAATGGGTAATTAAAATGAGCTCTTTCAGGGGGGTAGCCAGTGTTCTTCAAGGGGGGGAGGGGAGGCCCCAAAATGTGTCAAAGAGAGGGTACTCACCAGATTGATATGACAACCTCCATGCTGTGTTTTGCCTAAAAGAAGGTTTAAAAAAAGGGGGGGTCCACGAGCACCCCAGGACCCCCCCTAGCTATGTCCCTGTCTTGTGACAGCAGGCTTCCCTCCCCACTGAGAATTTCTTATTGTGATTACATCCTACCCACAAAATTTACCAGAAAGTCTCTGACCCATGAGAGCAACCTACCACACCCTAGTTAAGCATTTGATGCCCCCACCTCTTCCCCCCCCCCTTCCTTGCAAAGAGGAGTAAACACTTCTCTGTCTCTACTACAAAGGAGTAACCCTTTGGGTTCCCTCTGAATAATGAACAAGTTGGAGGAAAAATAATGGGGGGGGGGGTTTGATGCTTCTTTGCAATCAATTCCTTCCTATAATCAAGAGAGACTGTTCAGGAAGATTCCTTGAGACCACATAACACAGAAACAAAATTTAACACTCACAGAAGTTTTCTTGCCAGAAGAGAGTCTTCCTGGGTCTGATACTCTGGCTCCGACTGGGGGTTTCTGCAAATCAACAACATGCATCACTGGGACATCTTTTAAGAACATTAGGTTTTCAGTATTATTGTTTTTTTCCCTACACTGGACACTTACAAGTCTTCTTTTAGAACATTATATCAATCAATTGTTGAATTGGAATAAATTACTGGCCATGTTTCATTTACTTTGCAGTAACATGTTGAAGACTGCATGAATGAAATGGGAAATTGTTACACAGGTCCTTTATTTTCAGTAAGAACATATAAAAGAATTATCTTTTGACACAAGGGGTGGGTAATTCACAGCTAATTAAATCTTAAATGTAGTCTGCAGGACCCTGGTCATGTATGATTATTGTATGAGTATCAATAGTAAAAGATCTTTTCTCGTTCAGTGGTAGTGCATTGGAGCACCAATTCCAAACATGCAAGGTTCTATTCCTTGCACAGAACTCAGTTTCCTCTTTGACCATTGCTTACCACAATATGAATAAATAGGTGTTAGCTTGAGTTGACAAGGAACCACAAGTGCATTCTTTATGCCAAATGTATCCCCAAATCCTCAGGTAAATGGCCCTTTCATAGAGAGTCTCTCATTTCCTATGTCATTTGCATTTCCTCTGTTGTTTGTATTTCTTATGCTATTCCTAAGTTATTTCCAATCTTGTCATTAGTTGTTCCATTCTCAATGTACCATGTTTGTTCACTTTATTTACAAGACCATTGGCAACGATGTTTAAGTAGAGGAGTTTGATTGAGTCACTAAGAATTAAACTTGTCATAAATATATTGCTGGTGCATTGGTAAAAACCACATTTGAGTACAACTAACCGGTGGGGGAATACTTGGTGGAGGGACTCTGCTGCTAGGCACTTCTATATCAGAGTATTTTCTTGGCTTTGGTTGAGACGATCGTTGGCCCCCCTCTTGTGCACTTACAACTCTTGACAGCTTCAGATGTACTGGCTTTGGAGGTGGAACTGGTTTCATGCTAGGCTGTGGCACTTGGTAATGAGAATTCCTGTTTAACTATTGGGAGGAAACAAGAAATTAATTACAGAAACAAAATTATGAGATTACTGACAGGCTACTTGGATCTATGGCATTCACTTGACAAGATGTTACAAGAGAAGATCACACTGAAGCATGTTGAAGAAGATCAAACCTTAGGAGGTAAGGGTGGGGGCTCATCATCACCCTGGTCTTCACAAAGAACTTTCATTGTTCCACTGTCTTCACCACTGAAATAATGAGAGTACTGTTATGTCATCTTATTTCTATCAAATATGACTAAAAGTGATACCAAGTACATGTAATAACATTACTGTCACCGATCTGCATAAAAGACTTCATGTCCGTTGGCTTCACTATTAGTATAATAGTCTTACTTGTCCATGCTTATTTCTCCATTTTGTACTCCTGATGATCCATTCTCTGCCTATTGAAGTAGGTAATAAAAGAAAGAGATAAGAATGATATATTATGACCCTTAACTGAGTTTTAGATCATAATGAATCCAACTCCCAACCCCTCTTCTTTGTGGGAGATGCAGTGGTCCAATGGTTGGCAAGGTGACCTCCAGTTTGATGGGTTTGGGTCCAAGACTTTGACAGGTCATTGTGCTGTGCTTCTCTCCATTCAGGAGTATATCAAATGGGTACAGGTAAACTGGAAAATATTGTTCCAACAAAATACAAAAAAGACTGCAAATCCCTAAAATAAAACTCGTGCCATATTTTCAAGCAATACAGTGGGATGACTTTTTTACCTGATGTTGTGGTCTTGTTTCTCTGCTTACCATTGGCTCCACCTGCACTCCATCTACTGCATGTAAAAAAAAAATCCTCATAAGATAAGAGTTTTCACCTGAAACACTTGACACACCTACTGGGCATCATACCAGAGGGAGATCAAGGAATCTTCAATGAAAGGGGGGGGGAAGGGTGGGGTGAGGAAGAAATTGGATTCCGTAAACAAGGATTTTTTCTTTAAATGTTTCTAACGGACATTTTTAAGGACAAGGTTAACTGTAACTTCAGTGGCAGGTATATTCTGCACTTTTGTGTTCAGAGTAAGTATCACTTGAAAACTACGGTGACTAACAGTAGATTTAATTGAAGTTGTATGGTGCACTTACACTTTCCTTGAGATCCTGATATGCTGCTTCTTTCTAGATTTTTCTCAGGTATTTTCCTGGATCTAATTCTTGTAAGAACTTGGACATTCTGTAACATAATCAAAGATTATCCCCTGAACACTGCAGAATCAACTCCACATACAAAATAAAGTAACAATTTAATTGTCATGTGACTTGAATGGCCTTGCACACACTGGAAAAACAGTGCAAGTTTGATGGCCACACACAATGGCTAAAGCAGGGCTTGAAAAAGCTCCACAGCTCAATAAATGGTGCCATGAGAAGCTTGATAGAAAAAATGCATGGGATATAGGAAACCAGGGTTGTTGTCAAGCCCCTGCTTCCAGTCAAATTCACCGCATGAGATACAGGCAATCACCAGCTGTATTTTTGGCCAGCAGTCGTTCAAAAAAAAGTGCAACAGGCATCTGAGATTGTGTGCTTACAATTGTTCAATAACAAACTGTATCTTTGCACTGCCTCACTTGAAATTTCAGCTGGCAGCCTACTTTCTTTAGTACAACCCTGGGAAAAAGCAGCAGTCACATGACAGATCTTAATAATCTTACCTCATCAACTGGAGCAGCATCATCTTCGTCATCATCATCATCACCTGGTCCTGCGATATTCCCCTTATCTCCTTTTTTCCTCTTGTATGTGTCTAACAAGTCCTGTATAACTGCTCTGGTGTAGCCATGGCCACAAAATGGATGCTGTAACAGAAAAGTTATGTAAGATTCATGACAGAGAAAAGTGATCAAAAAACCAAAAAACATTTCAGAAAAATTGACTCTGTTACAACTGGAAACACTAGTTCATTTTCCACACTACTTGGAGCAAATTTCCCCATTGATAATGTACAAATCTGGTGCATACACTTTTTCCTTCAGAGATCTCTTTGAGACCAAGCATCAATTTTAAGAACTCTTGCGATAAACCTGCCAAGGTGACTAAGCTTGCTAGACTGAATTCAGCTGGAAAATCAAAAGCATTTTCAAGCTTGTGATCATTTCTTTAATTCTTGAGTGAGGATTCAGCAGTGAAACCTTGGTGAGAAGTTAGATGCTAGACAAGTTAGCCACAGGGATTAAAGCAATAAATAAAAACTCTGGAATAAAGTGCACTTACTGTTAACAATCTGTCTGCAGTGGGTCTCTTCTTTGGATTTTTCTGTAGAGCTGTCTTTAGAAAACTATGAAGTTCTGGGGACCTAGAAAAATTAAATGTCAAAATTTTTTTAAATTGTCAACGGACAATGGTGATGTCTGATGGTTCAGATGAGAGTAATAAATGGCCATGAACAAGATAAGAAGAATCATGGGAGGAGAGTGAAATTGGTAAGAAGAGTAGAAGGATAAGGAATGACAAGAATTTTATGGCTGTGAGAGGACAAGTGACTTAATGCAAAATATGTAGTCTGATTGCTGAGGAAAGAAAAAAGTGAGGTCATGTCAAATATGTAGTCTGATTGCTGAGGAAAGAAAAAAGTGAGGTCATGTCAAATATGTAGTCTGATTGCTGAGGAAAGAAAAAAGTGAGGTCATGTCAAATATGTAGTCTGATTGCTGAGGAAAGAAAAAAGTGAGGTCATGTCAAATATGTAGTCTGATTGCTGAGGAAAGAAAAAAGTGAGGTCATGTCAAATATGTAGTCTGATTGCTGAGGAAAGAAAAAAGTGAGGTCATGTCAAATATGTAGTCTGATTGCTGAGGAAAGAAAAAAGTGAGGTCATGTCAAATATGTAGTCTGATTGCTGAGGAAAGAAAAAAGTGAGGTCATGTCAAATATGTAGTCTGATTGCTGAGGAAAGAAAAAAGTGAGGTCATGCTAATTATGTAGTCTGATTGCTAAGGAGAGAGTAGTCCTTGCCCTGATGAGGACTGCTGTCCATAGCAGTGTCTGACATTTTGACAAACTGTGGAGACCTCACCAAGAGTCAAAAGGGAAGTTGTTTGTCAGTAAAGTGTTATGAGTCTATTTTATAAAAACAGACAGGGCAGTTTTGCCATGATATTATAGACTGTGACATATTGGCAATGTTCCCACAATCTTTTCAACCTGTGGACATGCCTACTTGTACTAGACATGGATATCAGCAAAGAAGGTTGTCAGCACTAGAATCCATGTCATTGCATGAAAAAGTTCACAATAACAATACTGACCATTTGTCCTTGTCTTTTAAAGTAGGCGGTACAAAACTTCTTTTTCCAATGTAATATAATGCCCTTCAAAATGAAAGAAATTAAAAGAATGTCTTACTGACAGCTCTCAGTTGGTTTGTGGGCTCAGTTAGTAGCTAGGAGCATTGCACCGGTATCACAGAGGTCATGAGTTCAAATCCTGTACAGTCCTGAATTTTTTTTCAGGCCTCATTTTCACTACTGCTTTTAGTTTTCATTACTGTGAAGATAACTTTTGTTCATTCAGTTTACTAACTAGTTATCCTGTACCCAACTCCTGTTTTATCTTATAGATCATCTGAACCATTATCCAAAGCTCTAGGGTTTGATTCCTGGAGGGGAACTCAGATCTTATCTTTGTCTTACGATAGCAATTCCGTTTCTTTTTTCCATTTTCTTGTGTTATCTGAATGTTATAACTCCTTTGCTAAGCCTGGCCTACATTGTAAGCCACATTAATTTAAAAATTTGAGGAAATATTTATCAAATGCAAGGAAGAGTTTTGAACTCACCTCATAGGATGTAAGTCAAACATGGGAGGTTGAAGCTCAGCTAGTTCAATGGCTGTTATGCCAACTGCCCAAATATCACACTAATAATAAAACAAATAATTGTTAAGGAGTATTTGGTAATTAAGTTAAATCGCATTGTGTTGCTATCATGTACAGTAATAAACATCTGAAAGTTTTGGTGGTTCAAAGGAGCATTTGGTGTTTTTGTTTTGCTCAAGGAAATGGACAGTTCTCAGGCTGCTGGAATTCTTTGGCTAATTTTAATGGTTAAGCTATTTTTTACTTAAATGTGAAGAATATTCTCTCTTTACTTTACACTATTCTCCTGTTACTCCATTTCTTAACAAAAATCCTACATCATTCTTAGCTATAATATCTACACTGCATGTCTAGAGTTTTGCACAGTTGAAGAAAATGACATATAGTCAAGACACTACACCTAACCAATGAACCATTTCAAAACATGAACATGTGAACATGAAATGGAAAAATTAAATTTAAACAAAAAAATTTTGGACATTAAATAGCATGTTTTCATTATTCTAGTGTTGAGAAATCACATAAGGTTAGAAAGACAGGGCATGAAAAACAAATTTGAGCAGAGAACGTCTTACTCTAGGAAGCTTGTAACAAAAAGAATGATTGTGTCCCCTTCAAAAATTATGAATGTTACATGACTTTTTTGTATGTGACACATTTTCATCCCTTGACCATTCCAATTAACCCTCTAACTCCCAGATCAAATTTGTAATTCTCCTAAATGTCAACCATACAATTCTAATAATGTTAGTTCAGAGAAGTTAGTATTGGATCAACTTATTATCCCCAAATTGATATTTTGCTATATTCTTATCACTTATCTGGTTGACATTGTATTGATATTGTAAGGAGAAATTCTGTCTTGGTCACTCATGGGAGTTACAGGGTTAAATTTTTTGTTTCCCATTGTCAGACTGACTCTAATACGTTTGATGGAGATGGTCTTATGAGGGAAAGAAATTCAAATACATTAGAGTTACTATACTGTGATCATAGGTACCTTTAAGTCATACCCTCCCAGTCGCTCTACAGCTGCCATTTCTGGTGCCATCCTGTTATAAAGAAGAAATCTGTCATGTAATAATGATCACAAATATGCAGTATGCTGCAAAATTTTAACTTTTTTCCTTATATCCAACATGGGGATTTTCCTGAGGTTTTCCAAGTATTTAACAATTTTGTACCAGCCTCCAAAAAAAGACTGTTCACATACCACAAAGATTTAATTTGAATTTATCAATAGCATATTCCCCAACACAAATAGACGAATTATGATCTGGCAGGTTTATGACCCTTTCACTCCCAAGATCTGATTGTAAATTCTCCCCTCCAGCTGCCTCTTATTCCCTTGTAAATAAGTTATGAGAATTTGGTGTTAGATCAAGATAACAGCTTATACCTGATAAGTTTGAGTATTCTTATCACCTGTTTGTTGGAGAATGTATAGACAATGTAGGGAGAAGTTACATGTTAATCACTTCTAGGTGTTAAAAGAAACTCACCAGTAAGGAGTTCCTATAAATGACTTTCTTTTTGTCATGGTCTCTGATATCCGGGCAGCAATGCCAAAATCAGCTATTAACAAAAAGAAATTTAATGTAAGCACAATGTTTTTACTTGAAAATTATATTAACCTTAACTCCCAAGATCTGATTGTGAATTCTCCCATCTACCTGCTACACATTTCCTTGTAAGTAAGTTACGAGAATTTGATGTTAGATCAAGGTAACAACTTCTACCTGATAAGTTTACCTGATTGTGAATTCTCCCATCTACCTGCTACACATTTCCTTGTACATAAGTTATGAGAATTTGATGTTAGATCAAGGTAACAACTTCTACCTGATAAGTTTAAGTATTCTCATTACCTGTTTGCTGGAAAATGTATGGACATTGTGGAGAGGAATTAGTTTTAAATCACTTCTGGGAGTCAAAGGGTTAATATGTGGAAGCTACACTGTATAAACAACAACAAGACCTGACATCAGCTCACCTAACTTGATGTTGCCTTGTGCTGTCAACAGGATGTTTGCACCCTGAGGAAAATTTTAAGGTAATGTAGATAAATATTACATAATAAATAAATTATTTGTAATATAGCCCCTTCCCCCCACAAAAAAAAAACAAACAAACAAAACAAACAAATCAAACAAACAAGCAAATGACATTCATTTTTGGATAAAAGAAGATTATGCCCTGTTTCTTTTCTGTTGATGGAGTTTCTTTTTGTCATATTCATGACAGTGTGTGGTATCTACCTTGATATCACGGTGCATTAAGTTCTTCTCATGGAGGTAGGCAAGACCCTGTGGTACAGAGAAAGAGAGATTTTTAACCCTTTACACCCTGACATCAGTATGCAAATTCTCCATTCTGTTCTCTACACATTTCCTAAGATGCAGATAAGGAGAACTTATTTAACAATCAAGATTTTCTTTGGTTGGTGATCATTTCCTTTATTCTTGCGATCTTTATATGTGATTCAGGGGTAATATTGTAGGGAGAAATTCAATGTTAGTCACTCTTAAGGGTCATGTTAAATCCATAAGTCAGTATCTATGTTCTCCATACTGTTTTCTTTATATTTCTTGCAGTTCCAACAAGGAGAATTTGTTTTACAATCAAGAGTTCCTTCATTGGTGATCATTTCCTTTTATTCTTATAATTCAAATGTTTTATTTAAGGCTGACACTGTAAGGAGAAGTAAGATATTGATCACTCTTAACCCTTTACCTCCCATGAGTGACTAGGAGAGAATTTCTCCTTACAATATCAATACAATATCAAGCATAGAAGTGATGAGAATCAAGTAAAATATAAATTAGAGGATTATTAGTTGATCTAATACCAAATTCTCCAAGTTGACATCAAAATAATTGTATGGCAGACAGTAAGGAGAATTACTAATGAGATCTTGGTAGTTAAAGGGTCAAATGTTCAAGAGGTCAGGGGTGCTTCTTTCCAGGGCCTTGTGTGCATGACTGAAATAAATTGGAGAAACAACCTACCTTCAGAGTTTCAACACTAATAAAAGAAATCTGAGGTTCACTGCATGGTCCAGTAACTGAATGGAAAATAAAACAAATAATAACTATTAATAATTTTTTACAGTTACGATTCCAGGGAGGAGGAAATATTAGGTTTTTTTTTTTTTTCAGGGCAACTTGTCTGACACCAACATTCTGGCAATAACAAGATTGTACATATATGTTGCTAATCAGTAAATGGTATATACAATTTAGTTGTTTTGAAATATTTCTTAGCTTACTTAAACTGTGGTGGAAAAAAATCTGTATTTTCTGAAACAAAGCATGTACACCCTTATTACAAATTCCTGTGTCTGCTCCTGATTAAAATATGATTTTTCAGTCAAGAAAAAGAAGCCAAGTGCAACTGATAGGTACATGACTTGAAAGTAAATTCATAATTATTACTGACCACAATAAATGTCCTGTGCAGATCCTGCCCCACAGAACTCCATTGCTATCCATAGCTTGTCTCTCCTAGAAACACAAAAAGGGTCATTTCACAATATTGCACTACACAACCTTATTGTGCATAATTTCACACAAATACTTTCCAATTTGAAGAAACTCTTGATCGGATCTTTGACACATAGTTACCACTTTGCAAAGCTGAATATCAGAAGTGAAAAACTTCAATCTATACCCTGAAAATGTGTTTGGCCCATCTAAGTTTAACCCTTTGACTCCCAGATGTGATCAACATGAAACTTTTCCTTGTAATATCCATACACTATTCAGCAAAAAGGTAATGAAAATATTCAAACTTATCAGGTAGAAGCTGCTATCCTGATCTAACACCAAGTTCTCATAACTAATTTACAAAGAAATGTTGAGCAGCTGGAGGGGAGAATTAACAATTGGTTCTTACTATTGATATCAACATTTTCTGTACTATGCTCTACACAGTTCTTAAAGTGCTGACAAGGAGAATTTGTTTAACAATCAAGAGCTTCTTTAGTCACTGATCATTTCTTTTATTCTCCTTACCTTAATACTTGATTCAGGGGTGATATTGTGAGGAGAAATTAGATGCTAGTCACTCTTAATTTCTATATATACCTGAGATAGCTGCCTATGTACTGAATGATATTTGGATGCTGACAGTTTTGCATCATGGCAATTTCTTGCTGAATCAGTTCAAAATCATCACCTGGAAAAATCAGAACAAGAAAAATTCACTTTGATGACTTCCATTGTACGTAAGAATTTTTCAAAATTGTAAAGTTTTATCAAGAACAGTCTATCTTGTCCAGCTTGCAGAGAAACAAATGGAGGTCAAATGACAAATGCTTATCAGTTTAAAAGTTAGCCCACGACAGGAAAATATTTTTTCTTCCAGGCATGATCTGTGGACCTTGTGCTCAAGCCAAATATTGTTCTGCCCAGCCCTCACATTAAGTCAGTGAGTACATGTATTCTTTAACAGGAGAAGCATAAAGAAATTATTTAATATTTCTTAAACCTACCTTTGGTTCCCATTAATCAGGTGCCCCCCCCCCCCTCTACAAGAATTGCAATCGTAAAAAATTGGATGTGCAAATATCAAAGTTGCAAACATGAAACATCACTTGAGCAAAAATTGTGACACAATCTTAACTTACATAGTTGATAATGATTTTAAATCATTTGTGCATATGATGATTTTTCTCACCTATTTCAGCAATTTTCAAGTATAAAAATGAATTAATTTATACAAATAATAACAACCTCTTCCATCCCGGGAGGTTTCCCTTCTGAAATTCCTCAACGTGACTGAAGATATTAGCCAAGTTTAGTAGCATACATGGAATTTCATTTGAAACATTTGCATGAAATCTACTTCTCAAAGTAAAAAAAGTCTAAGGAGAAATCTATATTAATATCAAAAATTTATATTGCCCTCATTTAAGAGCTTTGCAATAATTTTAGTCCCAGTCATAAGCTATAAACAATCCTCCATCTTCATCACTTTAGAATACTTTCTCTGAAGTAGGAATTATGTTTGAATTACAGTGTGGCGACATCAAAATAAAACGCCTTTATATAAATGGCTTTTTAATCTCTAGAACGCCATTTAATCTGCATGTGTAAAATAATTCTAAATAATCAAAGTAACATTTGCTGTTTTGTTTTTGCAAACGAGATGGAAATTAATATTGATTTCACAATTGCATGATGTGAAAAATTTGCATCATTAAAGGTCAGGAACGTAAACGTACAATAAAACATCAGAGGAAACAAATCGATTTTACGATCAGTTGCAAGAACAGCGACTTATACATGATGGAAATGCAATCTGTGAGGACGATGTCATGATTCGAGAGACCGGTAAACCATCCAAAGGAACAAATTAGGTGACATATGACATTTGCTCGAAGTCGAAATTGAATACCCCTTCAAAAACTGAAATAAGGGATTACTTTAAGACTGTATATAATAAATTGTAAGAAGCCTATTCTGTCTGGTTTTAACACCCACCTTCTTAATACTGGAATCGTAGACATTATTTCAATTCAGGAAGAGTCATAAATCAGAGATTTCTTACCTGGTTCGACTTTTACAACTTTCACTGCAGCCAGTTCCCCTGTAGAGATGACTCTGGCCTAGAGAGAAAGTTTTCATTGCGATCAGTGAAATTGTACGGCCGAACTTTACCCATGGCTGAAATATTGAAGATTAAGCCAATCAACCGTTTTAGAGAAAATAAATCAGGCGATTCCGAACCTTAAAAACGTCTCCATATGTTCCACCTCCAACTTTTTCGATCAAATCGAACACCTTCTCGGGATTTCCGCGAGAGATGTTGGCACGAAGCGGAACGCTCATGGTGTTTTGTTTGTCTAATGCTTCGCCAAGTTCACTGAAAACATCACGTCCACTCCTATATTGATTCACCAGGAGCGCTGAAAGCGGTTAAACCATCGTCAAGTCTACGAAAATCGTGAATTCTACGGAAGAGAAGTGTCGAATCAATTGCTCATATCCGCTTCACATACCCACTGCATTCCTGCAGGAACACGAGTAATTCCGGGAACTGAGCCGAGTAGTTATCGACGGAAAACTAACACCACGAGTAATTTACGACTACATATCGTTATTATTGTAACGCCATATACAGGCTTGGCTACTCAGCTATCAATACCGCAATTTTCATCCATGCATCGATACTGATAGTTAAAAACTTCTCCTCTCTAGATGTGTTTTGCAAGCAAAATTGATGTAATTTACCGCCGATTAATATTATCTTCGTTTTTCTCAAAAGGATGGGGAGATATAAATGTCTATGAACGCCTTCTCGAAGCTCGCAAGACCGTTACTGACAGAGAAAAATGCCACAAACTGATTTCTTCAAGCTATCCGGTTGAATTGAACAAATCATGGACGAAAGAATCATTTTACATCGCCGAAGGACACTTCACGTCACCTCTGGCCAGGTACTTTCCCGATCTGTTACCCAAAGAAAGTGAAAAAGCCCACTTTCAGGTCATTATACCCAAAAAATGGCCACGAAATGGACACAAACCGGCGTGTCTACATCTCGCGGGCACTGGTGACCACTACTTTTGGCGAAGAAGAAACCTTACGGCCAAACCTTTGGCGAAGCAATATGGTATTGCGTCTTTGCTGTTGGAAAATCCGTTTTACGGCATGAGAAAACCGAAAAATCAACTTCGATCCAGCCTCCTGCATGTGGTAGATTTGTTTGTCATGGGAGCAGCATTGATTTTAGAGTCACTTGTTCTCTTGAAGTGGTGTGAACAGCAGGGCTATGGACCACTGGGAATAACAGGGATTTCCATGGGTGGACACATGGCTTCACTTGCATGTACTGCCTGGACTAAACCACTTGCTATTGTGCCTTGTCTCTCTTGGAGTACGGCATCTTGTGTCTTTACTGAGGTAATTTATAAAGAATTATTATGAAGAATTATTTGATCATGTTCAGTGATTCATTTGTATTTGCTTCATCTTTAAGCCTGGATTTGTCAGAAAATTCCAGACCATTGGCAAATTTGCTGTTTCCATACTGTCCCAGATTTTTACAACAAATGAGATCTCAAATTGGTTGTAAAAGGTCCCCTGACTGTTTAGGATGGTTGGCGACAAATTGGGAAAATCTTGAACATATTTTTTCCTGACATGTCCCAGCTTTCTGCCATGATCAGCAATCATTTGAGATTCATGAAAACTTCAATTTTCATTTTTGGAGGTGTTGGCCATAGACCAGACCAACACTCAGGGTCTTTGAATAACTGAGGAGAAATGGTTAGGCATTCTAGTCTTCTTAGATAAGGACAGCAAGCTACAGGCCATCTTCTTTATACTAGTTAGCAGGAGGTGCTAAAAAATCCTAATTCTTTCAAAGAGTTGGGAAGTAAAGTACGTGGTCTGGCCTTGTTTACAAAATTGAGGGCATCTGCCATATTCTTTTGTAGAAGAAATTGTAAACTGCAGAACACAGTCTGGTTAAAGTCCCCAGCAAAGTGTTGTTAACCCTTTAACTCCCATGAGTGACCAAGAGAGAATTTCTCCTTAGAGTGTCAATGCATTATCAAGCAGACAAGGGATGAGAATAAAGAAAAATAGCAATCAGGGGAGTTTTAGTCGATCGGATACCAAATTCTCCAAACGAACACTATAAGAATTATATGGCAGATAGTAAGGAGAATTACTGTGGAGATCTTGGGAGTGAAAGGGTTATGGGCATTAGGGCATTCATGCCATGAAGAAGGTGCTTTATAAATGCATGAATATTACTGGTATTTAATGTGAAGGTCATGGGAACAAAGGAAATTATTACCAATTTAAGAAGCTCCTGATTGTTCAACAAATTCTCCTTGTCAGCACCTTAGGAAATGTATAGAGAACAGTGTGAGGAACGTGTATACTGAAAATAGCCTTTTTTTTATGTCCTGGATTTTTAGGGTGTGATGAGTCGTGCATGTTCATGGGATACATTAGAGAAACAGCTTTCATGTGAAGACTACAGGAACAGTTTGTTAGATTACATCCCTCTTAGTGGAAATGTATTCACCAAATTTGATGCTGATGATTTAAGCAAAAGCTCTGTGAATGGTTATAGCGATATGAACTCACTATCCCAATCTTTGATGGAACAGAAGGGGAAAAATCTGGATAACAGTGAAATTCAGACACTCTTTCTGAAACAAGAGGATATCTTCAATGGCTTGAAAACCAACATTTTTGAGAACCTGCCATCAATCTTAAGAAACATCAATCTCAAGGAAGGTTTACCTGCCAAACAATCAACTTTAGATTTTATGAATTACGTTATGGATGAGGAAACACATTTAAGAAATTTTCCTCCACCTGTCGATCCAAGTCTGGTTCATTTTGTGGTAGCTAAAAACGATGCTTATATTCCACGCAACAATCAGACAAGTCCTTCTGACATCTGGCCTGGGTGCACTGTGGAATATATAGACAGTGGTCATGTAGGAGGATCACTGAAACATCAGGATGTATTTAGAAGAGTAATTTGGGATACTTTAAGAAAACTCTCATGATGATTTGTATTGGACCACAATTATGATTTTTTTCCTTCTCTCTATTGAGTAAAATCGTATTTAAAATTTCATAGCAAATTCAATGGTTATGAATTGTATACAGTATTATTTAACTCTTGGCACCAGTTGAATTCACCATAATGGGTACTGTGTTTCTACATTGGGCTCTTTTGGGCAAGTTTACGTGTTGAACCTTTCACTCTGAAGATCTCATTAGTGCATGCAAATTCCACTTACTGTATACCATATAATTCTCATGATGTTAGCTTGGAGGATTTGTTATTGGATCAACTAATAATCCTCTGGTTGATATTGTAGTGCTGTTGTGAAGAGAAATTATATCTTGCTCACCCATGGGAATAACAGGGTCAATAATACAATATGTGGTAGAGAAAGATAATATTTGCTGACAGAAAATGATAACATTAATGTTACAGTGATAATATTACTTGGCAATTATTAAGGAAAATGTCTTATTTTTTGAGGCAGGCAAAGAAACCATCATCCAGATATCTCTTACTTTTATAATGCATGGGTAATCATAGGTGTGGTTGAATTACAGATGGGGCAAGGTTATAGATTTAGTACATTCCCATGGTCCTCATTTGAAAGGAATTCAGTTTTGTGTGGCCAAGGTTCTTTTATTTTGAAAAAATTCAAGAAATGTGTTTCTATAGGATGATAGCTTGTTATTGATGAAATTCAAATTACCATGTGATTTGAACTGTTTCTCTATGAATTTTATTGTCTTTTACCACAATTAAGACTCTGGTATCTATCTTAGGAGTGACAAGGATCTAATTTGTTGTTACAATATCACCCCCTGAATCACACATTAATAGCAGGAGAATAAAGGAAATAATCACCAACTAATTAAAGAGGTTTTTGATTCTTAAACAAATTCTCCTTGTCAGCACCTAAGGAAATGTAGAAAAAACGTTTTGAAGAATTAGCCTTTTTTTGGTACATCGATTTCTCTGGTTTTTAATGCATTTCTTGGCTTTGAAAATTTTTATTACAAGGTTTCGTGTAAGTGTTGTGGAAAACCAGCTATCCCACATGTCAGATTTGGAGCTTTCTCAGATTAATAGGGAAACATTTTAAATAACGTGAATTTCTGTAACTTGAGTAAATTTTAGTTATCTTTAATCATTAGTGTGTGAAATAAAAATGAATCAGAATGATAATATCTGTTTTTCAAATAATTAGCATGATATCATTATGCTAATGATTTGTAATCTAACACTATTATTACCATTTAAGGGATGATTGAGCTAAATTGTTGAATGTTATCATTGACAACACTAAAAGTGCATTAAGTACCTCGTATGTTTATTGAAAACAAATTTATCTATTGCCCTTTCACCTTATTTGGACATGTTAACCATTCCCCAAATTCAGTTAATACAAAATTGTGCTGACAGTCACAAGATCAAAGATGACATCAAAAGTTATTCTGTTGAATGAATTTTCCTACATAGGGTAAGATTTTTAGAGCCTGATGTTAAGTCACAGAATGGGCATCAAGATTCAAAAACACAATTCATGTGCATCAGTGATGAAAGAAAATGGACAGATTACAGCATGAAGTGCATATTTTTAGACATGATGACTGACTCATCATGCTTAGTGGAGCAAATCAAATGACGTTGTGCCTTATCTATACTAACTCAGTCATGCATTTGTTTGCCATCTACTAGGGTATATCTTTTCTCCCTCTTACCTACATTATTCATGAAGCATTTTCAAGCTCACTGCATCAAATATTTGAAGGTTTATAATCATTGAACATGGTCCTTAATTTTCCAGCCATATCAGTTGTAAATGTAGTATATGGAACAGATATTTAGCATGCATGTTTCACAAAATTAAGTTTTAAAGAGAGGACAACAAAAAGGAATGTTTTTGAAAGCTGTTGTATTCTTTGGTATTTCAGTGAGATGTCCCTTTTCAAAAATTTAAAAAATAATGAGAGATTGGAATCTAAGGCAAATGAATATGGTTTATACTCATTATATACTAAAAATTATTTCAGTTCAACTTGAAGCTCAAATGAGACTCCATGATACAGTTTTCAAAATAACCTAAATTCTCCATGTTTTCAAAATTTTATGGATGTGTGAAAAATTTGAGTTATCTTGACTAAACAAATGGAAAGATCTAAATAAATATTTTGTGAGGAAACAATGTTTAAAGCATCAATTATGATAGATATATGCTATAAAACAAAATTAGCTATTTGAAGTAGATTCTCTGAGTGAAGACATCAATTCTTTATGTAAATTTTAAAAATTTGAAGGAGTGACAAGTAGCTGGTGTTACTGATTTTGTTAAATATTCAATCCCAAGTATATATCTAAACTAGTTAGTTGAGAAATTTATTAACTCTCTTCATAACATAGCTAGTAAATTTGTGTAATCAAATTCAATTGCGTGAGTGTGCTTCATATTCCCATTGTGCATGCTCATGATGTCAGCAAACAAATCCCTCGAGAAAAAACAATTTTCCATCGGGTTGAAAATGTTATAAAACAATTGGTTCATATGTCAGCTGTGTGTTCATCAAGATATGAAGCACTTGGGAAGTTTGGAGAGCATTCAAGAAGCTAGAGTTCCTCTCGGCTATGCCTTGAGCAATTCTTATGCATCTTTCGTGCTCTCCAAACTTCCTGTGTGCTTCATATCTTGATGAATGCATGCTGACGTATGAACCAATTGTTAATTTTTTGTGGATTTTTTTGTCTATTTGCTCAAACAGAGAGGAAAAAATATGGTAAACTAATAGACACAGAAACAAACGACAAGTAACTGGATATTGGGAAATATTGTGGAGAAGGATATTTGTGCAAAGTTGCTTTCCCAATCCTTTTAAGCAGAAAATCATAAGACCATTTAAAGCATTGGAAAAGTATTGATTTAAGGTCTTTTCAAAGTTGCAGGTGGTTACCTTGTGAAATAATTTTATCTTGGAATTCTTACAATGCAAATCACATGATGTTGTTGTGAAAACAAGAAAATTTCAAAAATGATCACAGATAGTCAAAATTATCAAACACTGCATGACAAGGAATTTTGTTTATTAACCCTTCAACTCCCAAGATCTGATTGTTAATTCTCCTATCTAGCTGCTTCATATTTCTTATAAATTAGTCACAAGAATTTGGTGTTAGATTAAAGATACCTTCACCTGATCTGATGAGTTTGAGTATCCTCATAACCTGTAGGTGAGATAATGTGTGGGTTTTATGGGGAGAATTTACATTTTAATCACTTCTGGGAGTTAAAGGTTTATACCCAAGTCGTAAAATATGAAAAGTTCTTTCTGCAGTGACACCTGTTCTTCGTTTTTTGGCACCTCCAGGGGTTACACAGTACATTTCGAAATACATCTTAAAATGAAAACAGATAAATGATAAAAAGAAAATTATTTTGAAAATCAGTTGTTAGAGTTAAGAGCTCCGAGCATCAGTGGAATGTCATAAATGTCCAAAAAAGGCAGAGTATAAAACTACTTTTCCGTTAAAAATTATACTAAGATAGATACCTCGCCGGAAGTGTTTTGACTGTGTCACGCCATGCCTTATATGGTAATGGTATCCTATCTGGGGGCGGTCCCCAATTCGCTCGTGCAAGCCAAGAGACGAAACTATTGTGCATTGCACTGCGAAAAATTCTTCCTTGATCATCCCTCGAAAACATGGCGGACGACAAACCTAGTCTTGCGGAGGTCTCATCTTTTGATTCCTCCAAACTGAAACATGTGAAGACTGTGGAAAAGAATACTCTTCCATCCAGCGAAAGTAAGAAAACGATATTTTTTTATAGCAAGACATATCTTCTGCACCACCAAAGAATTTTTGTGTAGTAGTCTTTTGAGGAAACAAACGATTTTGTGCTAGTATTTGAGCTGTACTGTGTACGTAAAGAGCTTAACTTAGTTCTAGAAGCATTATTTAGGAGATGAGTGAGCATATTTTACACGTAAAGGTTTTCTGAAGCGATGACAATTGGAAAGTGCCATTCAGATCAAACGCCACGTCTAGCTTCCTCAGAGTCTTTCTTTGCAGAGCTTTTGGGCTTTAATTTTAATTTGGAGCTGCGAATGGACATTTCGTCTAAAATTTGCAATTATTTTGAATGTCGTAGCTGTTAAACAGGAACTTCAGCCAGACGAATTTCCAGATCGTTCAGAGGTGAAGAATTTCGACCAGTCGAAATTGAAGAAAGCCCACACTGAGGAAAAGAACCCACTTCCTTCGAAAGAGAGTATGTTGGTTTCTCCTTAAGCATTTATAACTGTACTCATTTCAGTGTATGTTATTTTTTTTAATACCCTGAGTGAGCTAATCCAACGATGTCATGTGAAATTTAAAGAGTGTTAACTCCCTATCTTGTCAAATTGCAGCAATTGCTGAAGAACAACGCACGGCGCCATTTTCTGGAGTGGAAGTTTTCAACAAGGATCTACTGAAACACGTGGAAACTACCGAAAAGAAACCTCCTCTTCCAACTCCCCAAGGTACTTATAATTTTCGTTATTTCAGGCGTAAGGCCAGGTGAAAATATGGTTTGCACGGGAAGAATTATAAATATTAATTCACATTACCAAAATTTTTATTGCGTTTGTTGCGTGGTAAGTTCGTGTTTCCCTATCAGCGGAACGGAAACCTTCTTTATTTTTCATCACGTATCTTTAAGGCAGACTGTAAACTGTGTTGAAACTCGTCTGGAAATGTTTACGCTTGAATTAGACTACGTGCGTTACAAATTTAAGTGTTGTTGACCAAAATGTTTGTGAACCCATCCCTCTGACATTCGCTTGTTTGGAAGCTGAGCTTTATTGACCTAAGGGTCGCGTTAAAAATCGTCTTGTTTCGGAACACCGGAAATAGCATTTATGTCTGCAGAATCTGCTTTTTGTTTTCAAGTTCGTATCATAACATAAGCTCAATAAGTCAAAGAATTATTGCAAACAGCGGTGGTCCTCTCTTTCATTGCACGTAACCTCTAAAAAGTTGCCTGAGGCGTAATATGTTAAAACCGAAGCGCACAATTAGGTACTTTCGTGAGTTGTTAAGTGTTTAAAACTGTACCAAAATTTTCCTTTTTATTTTCAATCGTGTTAGGAGGCGTAGTGTGGTATTTAAATATTCAAATTTCTCCAGACCACATAACTACAATATTTATAACTTGTCCAATATTTCCGTTTCGTGGCACCCTTACAAATATCAATTTACATAAACCAGGTAAATTGAACCCAGACTTTGCCAACTTTCACTTTTCAGAAGTTTTAATTACAACACTTGAAATTTCACTCTTTGGCACAACTGCTTCAATCATGTTAAATGTTTGCTGTATTCAATGTGGTTACTTGTTTTGAATTGACTTTTGTAGTTTTAAAACTGAAAATTTTATTTCCATATAAGGTCATAAGTGTGTACCTAGACTAACATCATTTTATTTAAACATCCGAGGAAAAAATTCTGAATAATTGATCACTTTGAAAGAGCAAGACAATTAAACTCTTTGTGTAGAGGAATAGATATATTATAATGCAATGCACTAATGCAAAGTTAAATTCAAACTACAAGTTATTGGAAGTTAGACTAAGATTCAAAGCAGTGGATGTAAAAATTTTGGTTTCATGTATTTTGATAATATATAAGACTGCTGACTGTCCATTGTTTGAGTAAACCCCTAACCTCTTATTTTTGTAAAAACTTAACTCCCATGTGTGACAAAGAAATAATTAATCCTTTCAATATCAAGACAATATCAAGCAGACAAGTGATGAGGATAAAGATAAAATATCAATAGAGGAGATTATCAGTTGATCCAATACCAAATTCTCCAAACTAATATCATAACTGTATGGCAGACCGTAAGGATATATGGAAAGTGAAAGTAATCTAAGAGAAACTGTGTATGGTCTAAAAGGAAGTATTATTGTCCAGATATTAACACTGATATGGCTGAAACCATTCAAGGTGAATGGTTTAAGCATCCTCATGTGATAACTTGTCTGGATGAAAAAGAGCCTTTGCCTTTGCCTTTGCCCTAGTTTATCCCTAAGAGTGACTAGCACCTAATTTCTTTTAGCAATACCACCCTAGAATCACACAAAGTCACAAGAATAAACGAAATGATTACCAATTAAAGGTGCTCTTGATTCCTAGACAAGTTTTCCTTGTCAGCACCTTAGAAAATGTATCGAGAACATTATGGAGGATATGAATACCAATGTTAGGGTGTAAAGAGATTTTAGAACCCCACTGAGCCTGCTGAGAAGATTCAGGTATGGAGCTTATTGAGGAGCTTCCAAATAAACATTTTTGCATTTCTTTCAGAGCTTCGTGAAGAGATGCGGCCTGATGAACTCCCAGATGTTTCTGAAGTAGAAAACTTTGATGCAACGAAACTGAAACGTGTTAAAACCAAGGAAAGCAATGTTCTTCCCACTAAAGAAGGTAAATGAACTCTTAAAGCAATAGACAGCACTTTTTATTAATGTACCAGGAAAACAAAACCCAAACAGTATGTTGTGACAATACAAGAATAGTTGACTTGTGATTTACAAATTTTTCAACTGGTTTTGGAGAAAGCACCATTCCTCATTTTATATAATCAGATTAGAACTACTCCAAATATCTTGTGTTGTGTTTTTAGATCTCATTGCAAAGAGAGCAACCCCTCTTTCTAAAACTAATGTGAATGTTTGTGTCAGAATTTGATTTTAAACTGATTTGAAAAGTGAATGCTTTAAATTTTGAGCACTAGAACTTTGTTTGAGATCCTCATCAAGCATGTTCCCTTTCTTGATCACTCATTCAACATTAAATAGAATTTTTAAATGGTTAATAAACTTCGGTAACATGTCAAACATGGATTGATTCTTTAGTTATCGAGGAGGAATCTGTTGAATCAAGAGCCGAAGTGAAGAGTTTCGACAAAGGCTCTCTTAAACATGTGGACACAGATGAAAAGAAGTATCTCCCCACTGCACAAGGTACATTTTAATTATATCTCCTTGGTGGCACAGTGTCATCTCTTGTTCTCTTCATTCTAAAATGGGTGATTTCAGGTCAAGCTCTGTTTTATAATTTTGATACTCTCAATGTCTTCTGTTTTGATTTCAGATCTCACTGCTGAGAGAATGCCCCCGCCATCAAGACGACCAGACCGCTCAGAGGTGCTACAGTTTGACCACAATAAACTGCAACATGTGCCTATTACAGAAAAAGTTGTTCTTCCAAGTCAACAAGGTATTTGTAAATATATTTGATATATTTTTTGTGTGTGATGAACTGTAGAACTAAGTCTTCAAGGGAATCCTAAATTCAATTGAGGATTTTTGGCCTCAGGGTCAGTGTCATAAAAGCTGAAAAACAAGCTTTCAAACGACTTGTTTCATTTTGATATCATTTCTAAGATTATTTTTCTTTCTTTTCAGACATTCATGATGAAAGTGTAGGCTCCAGAGCAGAAGTTAAAACGTTTGACAAGAGTCAGTTGAAACATGTTGAAACCAAAGAGGAGAATACACTACCTGGAGCAGGAGGTACATGTACATGCACATGGAAATTCTCCCCACTGTCTGCCACATATTTCTTATACCTTTAGCTCTAAGGAATTTGTATGAAATCAGACAATGTTTATTTGGTGATGATTGATTTGATTTGATTTGATTTGCTTCTCGTCAGCTTGTCTTGTTCTTGTGCTGTATTGCTTCTTGTCTGGAGAAATTACTTGGTGGTCACCCCTGTGGGTAAAAGAGTTACAGGCCGATCAATTTGAAGTCTATAACATCCCCCCCTCCCCCCCATGGCCAACCCTGTCTTCAGTGGTCTTCAGTGCCAGGGGGGGGTTTGGGAAATTTGAGCCTTTCCTGGGTAGGGTGCGGAGTTGTAACCAAAACTGTAAAGTCTTTCTAGCAGATTACACATGTTTTGTCGTTAAATTTGTAGTTTTTAAAGGTAAAGAGTTCACTTTCACAGAGCTAATGGCTCTGAAGAAAAGCTCTACAAGAAATTCTTGGTCAATAACCTTGCATTTTACAAAAGTTTTACTATCAAATCTGGCACTCGGGTGGGGCATTCGAACACAATTTTGGCCTGAGGGGGTTGGGGGGAGCAGAAATTTAATGTTCAAATGGCCAGGGGGGCTGCCCAAGGGGGATTTTGAAGCTTAAAATTGATTGATGCATTAATTCCTGATGTTGGTTTGAGCACTACACTACTGTATGCTGCAGATTGCAAATATGTCCTTTGCATGACTCTGTTAGCTGCCTTGTTGAATTAAAAGTATGTTTGGGAAAAGCAAGGAAGTGAAGGAATGAAGGGCATAATGGCATTTGTAAAATGCCCAAACTTGAGGCCATTGGCATTTAAGTTCACAATTTGACAATCATTATGATCTCAAGAAAATTAACCCTTTCACTCCCACAAGTGACCAAGACATAATTTCTCCTTACAATATCAATACAATATCAAGCAGGCAGGTGATGAGAATAGAGAAGAATATCGATCATGGGATCATTAGTTGATCCATTACCAAATTCTCTGAACTAACATCATGAGAATTGTATGGCAGATAGTAAGGAGAATTACTAATCAGATCTTGGGAGTGAAAGGGTTAACAAGAGCTGGAAAAGTAGGCAGGGGATGACAAAAACTGCCATCAAGCAAACTGTGAAACTAGAGGAAAAAACATGACACCAATATTAATTAGTTCATCTCTTAAATATTCAGATATCCGAGCCGAGTTGATGCCTGATGTGCTGCCAGATCGTTCAGAAGTGGCAAAGTTTGATCAGACCAAGCTTAAACATGTGAAAACCACAGAGAAAGTAGTTCTTCCAACTCAAGATGGTGAGGCTGAAATTTGTTACAGTACAGCTACGATTACCAAGTTCAAACTTACAATGCATGATAAGGAAGAAAATAATTAGTCCAACCAAATTCAGTGTGTGTTATTTGAAGCTCAGGACCATTTCAAGCTAAGATCACAAAGAAGTTAGTTGGAATTCATTAGTTGTTTTGTGAAAGGCGTTTTGTAAGTTTTGGCCAAGTGACTGCCATGACAGTTGATTGTTTTTTTATAATTGTGGGCAAAGCAAAAAATTAATGTAAATACGCATAAAATACAATATGATCTTCCTTTATCTTAAGACTAATTCAGTGTTTTTCCTTATTTTAAATATAATGTGTAACAAGAATTCAAGTGATTTTAGGCCGTAAATTTACTGGTTACCACCCGAAGAGGAGAACATTGTTGAACTTAAATTGCACAAATGACTTAACAATGATTATGTTAATAATATGTACTTTTCATTGTGTTTAATTTTATTAGTTGCAATTTATTATTTACTGAGATTAAGAGTAGTAATATTGATTAGAACAGGGTTTGTATATGTCCTGAAAAATTTGGAAAGTCCTGTGGTTTTATTTTGAAATTTTCCAGGACTGGAAAGTCCTGCAAAAAAGACCACAGGTCCTGGAAAGTCCTGGAAATCTGCTTAACTCAAGAAAAAAAGTTTTCAGAATTGACATTATTAGAAATGTATGTAGATCATTGGGGAATTGAGTTTGAAATCTTGGGAATGAAAGTGTTAAAGGTGTAAGTTGGAGTCATGGAAAATTCACTTTGAGTACTGGAAAAGTCCTTGAAATTTGTTTTTGAATAAGTGTACAAACCCTGATAGAAATTGATAAATATAATTCTAGTTATTTCATCTTTTTCATGGGATCTGGCAAATTTTTTTTTTCTTAAGATATCAAGGAGGAAACTATTGGGTCACGAGCAGAAGTGAAGACTTTTGATCACAGCAAGCTCAAGCACGTGAAGACAGAAGAAAAAGTTACTTTACCAGGAGTTGGAGGTTAGTTTGGTGGTTATTTTTGATGGCCAGGTGTAGAAATGCATGGTAGTTGATATATTTTTTCCTTCTTTTGTTCACATTTTAGACATTGTGGCAGAATTGAGGCCAGATGAACTTCCTGACCGCTCAGCTGTGACATCATTTGATCAGTCCCAACTGAAACATGTTGAGACCCAACAGAAGGAAGTTTTACCAACAAAAGCAGGTGCTGTAACACCCTTTACACCCTTTCATCTGATGAGTATGCAATTTCTCTACACTGCTTTTATATGTTTCCTATGTTACTTGCGAGGAGAATTTGCCTAACAGTAAAGAGCTTCTTGAGTTGGCAACATTTACCGTATTAACTTGTGTATAAGTCAAACTCGTGTATAAGTTTACCCCATTTTCGAGTTCAAAAATCAGATTTTCATCATTTCTAGTCTAAGAAGTAAAATTCAGACAGATAGAAATTTCCCAAAAGTGAATCTCTTACTTCTGGGAATGTATTGAAAACACAGGGAATTAAAAAACTGCAGAGCAAAATGTAACAGTGTGCTTTGAAGACATTTGCCAGGTTTCTAAACTACTGTAATCATTCAATAAAATCAAAAGTTTTGCTCTGTAAACAACAGCAAAGTTGTAAGAAAAAATGTCTGCTCTACAGTCCAGAGATACAACAAAAATCAGCTCAAGTAGCTTTGTGTTAGACTACTCAAAATTTATTATTTCAAACTTTTTTTGTGGACGAAGAATGTGCTGAAAAGTGATGAAACTTGAACACAATTTGAACTGAGCTGGTTTTGGTAAACTCAGTTTTCCTAATGGACTTCAAGCAATTGTTATGCTAATTTCTTGGATTGCTTGGGTCAGGTCTCTGTGTATGACTCATGGGTAATTTTTTGGGCTGACTTATACATGAGTAAATATGGTACTTTATTTTGATGACCTGAAATGTTTGATTCAGGGGTGATACTGTCTCAAGGAATGAGATGTTAATAACTCCTAAGGAAAAAAGGGTCAAGATCAGTTGTGTTGGCATAAAAATTTCTCGTGCTGCAAAGGAGATGAATTTGATCTACACTATTTTACTTTATAACTTATTTTTTTCATTTGTTGATCAGTAATTGAAGAAGAGATGACTAATTCCAGAGCCGAAGTTAAATCATTTGACAAGTCGAAACTGAAGCATGTTGAAACAGAAGAGAAAAACCCAACACCCACACCACAAACGCTGAGAGAGGAATTGATCCCTGACAAGTTACCTGACAAGACAGCAGAGTTAAAGGAAATTGAAGGATTTGATGCATCAAAGAAACTGAAACATGTTGAAACCCAGGACAAGACACATCTTCCTACAAAGGAAGGTACAGTATGTTTTGACAGCACAGAGAAGGTTATAAATATATGAATATAACAATTGTCAAATGAATAGAGGGGTAAGTTTCTTAAGGGTTAAATTCCTAGAAGGGAGAAACCTGTAACTTCTTCCTCTAATATCCATACATTATCCAGCAAATGGGTGATAAAAATACTCAAACTTATCAGAGAGAAGTTGTTATCTTGGTCTAATGCCAAATTCTCTTAACTAATTTACAAGGAAATGTGTAGCAGCTTGTGAGGAGAATTGACAATTGGATCTTGGGAGTTCAATTGGTGATCATTTCCTTTATTCTTGTGACCTTAACATGTGATTGAGGCTTGATATTGTAAGGAGAAATTAGATGTTAGTCACTCTTAGAGGTCAAAAGGTTGAAGTTTCTTCTAGGCTTAATTTGTGCATTGACAAAAGCAATCAATATTTTCTAACAGAAATCAAGGAAGAAGCAACCGAGACAAGAGCTGAAGTTAAAACCTTTGACCAGTCTAAGCTGAACCACGTAGAGCCTCAGGAGAAAAATACACTTCCTAAACAATCAGGCAAGTGTGCTTTGTTCTGAGAGACGAAACAATTTGATTGGCAGATGCCAATAAGCTGATCTTCATTTTGAAATCTAAAAAAAAAAAAGTATTGTAACCAAATCATTTTAAAGCTTCAAATGTTGAACTTCCCTACAAATACAACCATGTTGTTCCATAGAAGCTTTTGTGAGTGAGCACATATGACCACAACAAGGTTACTTGAAGAAAAATTTGACTACATTTATCTTTGAATATTCAAGTTGTGTCCTGTTATGATTTTTTATATTAAGATTTATTATGTATCTTCCAGTGTGTCTGTTGCACTAGAAATTAGAATTTAGTTTTTCTGCAAAGTTGTAAAAGCAGTAAGCACTGTGTTGTTTGTGCTGGAGTGCTGAAATTGTGAAATTTCCAATGAGTGCAGCAGTCAGTGATGAATCTTCACTTAGATTCAGACAGTGCAGCAAGAGGTAGACGCATGGCGACAACTGACACCATCAATTAGTAGCGAAAGAACAGTGTTAGCTCAGGCAGATGGAACAAGTTTGCAAGATCCTCATGTTTTTGTCCTTGCTTTTTGAGAAAAGTGAATTGTTGCTGGTTAGTTGGAGTTTGATGCACAGATTTGGGAAGAGAAACTTATAATTCCTGATAGAAATGTAGTGTGTAGATTTTGTGATCATGTCATATTTTGAACCCTCTGTTCTTGAATTGGAGAAGTTGTTTCACTTACTGGTACAAATGTGAAATAGTTACTGCCCTTGCAATTTTATCAATTATCATTAAATGCTTTCTACAGATTGGAGTAAAATTTCAAAAAGTAAAAGAAATCTACAGTTTTATATTTTGGATTACAAGTTACATTTATTAAAGATAAACATATTATTTAAAATGGGAAATAAAATTATTTTTATAGTAAAAAAAATGAAAATTAAAGACTTTCCAAGATTAATAAAAAGTTGACTAATACAATCAAATAAATGGCGGTTATTATTTAAAAATGTTATTGGGCAGTCAGAGTTTGAAAGGTGAAATTGAAGAATTTATATGTGCATGTTTGTAAACGGAAGTTCCTCGTAAAATAAAGTTGCTCGTTTGTTGAGTTTATCCGTGTGTCAGTGTAAGATATGTTAAGTTTAGCTAGCCTACCTTCGACCGGGAGAAACTCCTTAGTCACAGAAAAGTTGAAACGTTCCAGCAGAGGTTTTGGCCTTTGTGATGTATTGTTTAAATTTGACTCGTCTCTCATTCAACAATGATTCGATTCATGGTCCCACTCTCCATCCTTTTTTCGTTTTCTATTCTTTTCCTTCCATTTTCCCTTCATTCCTCTTGTTACATTTAGGGAGCACGCACTGTCTTCGTAAACAAACGTCTGTCAAGCTTTTCCGAAGCACTGCGACGGAAAAACGATCACTGCAGGCTCACTGATTTCTTATTTTACGATTCTTACATGAACGATCATGACTTTGCATGCGACGATCACGTGCCTCTGATGTCAACCAGGATCATTAACCATTAACTTCGATTCCAATAAGCGATGTTGTTATCAAAATTACTTATTTTATTACTAAATAAAGCTGATAGTAGTCTTGTATGAATTTTGATTAGACATTCAAGAGGAAAAAGCAGCTTCCTGAAGAGTGACCTCAGTAATTCGTACCCAGTGCACCGAGCAGGACGTATGTACACGGTTGAAGCGGAACATTATTGGACAATGCAATAACAGGAACTTTTCTAGCTCATCTTTTTATAGTAGAAATTCTCATATATTCTGCTTAATATCTTGGGCTCGGTTTATATACACTTTTGTATAACAGAGACATTTTCCAAGGAGACAAATAGATTTGTAAGAGTAGCTTCAATTATGATTAAATTGCAATGAAGAAACTTTCATTGACTCCTGTTTCCTGCTCATACATTTGGAGCAACTTTCATTTGATTGTCGAAAGTAATTCGGGCTAGCATTGGTTTTTCTGTTACTTAGCTTTGTGATTGGTCCAAAAAACTCGTACCACATTCTCGACCAATCAGATGCAAAACTAAAATCAATGACAACTTTCCCGCGCTTGGGCGGTTTGCTTGGTTTAATTTGGGTTCTCCTTGGTTCTTAAGGGATTTTTCTTTTTTCTGATTGGCTGTGTTGACGACTTTGGTTTTGGTTTTACGACACGCAATTAAGAAACGCTCTAAATTTCATGCATTTAATTCTAATTCTTTGTTAACAAGGAGAATGGCTTTAGGCATACCGTGCACCAAACTGTCTCAACGAATTGACAGAGGGGTGTATGGCATTCAGAGGAAATATTTATCAAACAACCTGGGGATTGAGGTATATAATCATTTACCAATAAATTTTTATTTTGAAGTCCCGTCGGCTTAAAGGGCTCGGCCTTCGTAAGCAAACAGGTTGCGAATGAACTGGGGGCGAGTGAATGGTTGGTCATGGCGTGATTCTATACTCTCCCATAATTTGCCTGGGATTTGCAACTAACCGTTATCGATTCTCAACGTGACTGACTGAGATTGCAGTTAAGGATCTCAGCTCAGTTCAGCACTCTAATCTTTTCATCCTTAAGGGAAAATTTTCACAAAGGTGTTTTGCGCTCATGGAAAATCTTCAGTTATTGAGGGTTACTATCATTTAGGAATACCTCTGCGACACAAAAACAAATTAATTATGTGGATGTGGGGCAATTAAGATGCAGGAGAAGGGAGTGAAGGCTTAGAGTGTGCATCCGAAGAGTGTTGAGGAAATCACGGCAGCTGAAATCACGTCAGCTGAATCCTTGAAACAATCTTTATGTCAATCTAGATATTTACACAGCGTCACTAAAACAAACCACCTTGATATGGCATTCACTCCTAAAATATCATTCAACTCTTAGAAGCTTCATTTTTCATGAGAATAATTTACGACGTTTTAATTTTCTTGTACATTCTGATTGTAGGTAAATGGTTTGAACCTGGAGGTAACATTTGACGGTTGGGTGAGGGTAGTCCTGAGACGGAAGGAAAAACTGACCAATTAGTTTTTACGAACTAGAATTTCAACTCTAGAGAGAGTACTCTCGACTAACAGTAATTCTTTACTACTTTGTTGCCAGGATAGGAAAAGAGAGAGTCCTTAGAAAGAGTTTCTCGGCACTCGTGATGACTTCCGTTTTGGCTCGGTCCCCATATCATGCATGACCTCGAGCCAAACATGTTCCCGTTCGGCCCTCCTGTGTGGTCAATAAGAACATAATGATCACTCATACGATTATATTTCTTCATTTTTTTAAAAGAAAATTAAAGCTGTCTATCTGTGGCTTATGATAAGGAAAATGACGATTTTCCATTGAAGCAGTGCTCTCCAAATTCGTTTCCAGGGTCTTCTCTCTTCCTTTACTACTTTCTCGAGGGAGGAAGAGAGAAAACCCGGAGATCGAGGTTGCGTGCTCTTAAGGAACGCTTCAGTAAGAAGCCAGAGATTTAAGAGCTCGGGGAAAATATTTAACCTCAGCTTTTGGCTGGCGCCCTGTAATTACTGTGGTCTGGTTCGCTGGGTTGTACATCCTGTTAACACCCTTAAGCTCGTAAATTTGGCTATTTTTGGAACAGACTAAATTACCCACTGTATAGGAAACAGGGAACAAGAAACAAGAAACAAGAAACGAGAAAAAAAAAACGTTTAGTATCTTAGCTGCGGATGAATATTTATAAAGATGAGAAAACGTGAGGGGCATGTTTTTATTCACAGCAGGAAGTACTCCTCACGCAGCGCTCTGTGTCACGCAATTCAACTCCAGCTCTTCTGAGACCAAAGCGTTCCGCGTTCCTCGTGTCTCAATCGACGGAATTTTAGATCGGTCTCCACCAAATCATGCTTATCTTTTTCAATCCACAAAAGATAATGGCCTATGCAAACTTTACTACTTCTCCCACACAAGAGCCATGTGGAGAAACGATAACAGCGGTGGTTATAGAGCGTAACAGAGCTTTGAAACAGTTCCAGTACTGTCAATCAGTGAACCGGGAGGAAGGGGGGCGGCACTTAAGTAAAGTTTAGACAGGTCGGTATTGCTGTTGGTTTGAGGAGAAATACCTTTACAGCAAAGAGCTTTCCCAGCTTGAGGACCAAATTATGGTTTGCGAAACCTAAAAAATAACTTCATTGTACCAGTTTTTTACCAGCGCTCATTTTTTTTTTCATAATTACTCTTTCTTCTAATGATGTCTTTCTACGCTAGCAGACTTACGTTGTGTGCGGTTTTGCGGGCCTCAACAGATGAATCAGAAATCGTAACACCACGCCTTACAAATATGTTTTGCAGGCACTGCACAAGTGTAAAGATCCATGTCATTTGATAAGTCTCGATAGCGGTTGGATAATGGTACGTCCCCCCTGCTACCCATCACAGCTGTCTCATCATGAATGTGTTGCGTGACTGTTCACCTTGGTTTTTTCGAAACATAATCTTTACTTCCTTACACCTTCTTGCTGAAAGGGAAGCTCGAGTATTTCCTTTAAAGGGGAAGAAATTGATTTAATGCTGTTATTCACGAAGCTGCGGTTCAGCCATGTTCTTGCTCTGGGCTTTGCTTTCGTCATGTGTCGTGATAGCGCACGGTGAGTTGTTCATTGCTTTTGTCACGGTACGAATGGCCCACAGTTCTTAAATCCTCGCAAACTAGAACAATCGTCCCACCAATTGATAAATCACCTTTATTTTTATTGCTGAGATAGCCTAAATATCGTGCTTGTCAGACGGTAGCAAAAGTCTTTCCTAAAGTTCAATCCTCGAAGAGTTAGCTTGGACGATTCACTGAATCCTCACACTAGATACACTCCACTGAAGTCGAAATGCGTTAATGACGCAATCAAAGATTTCTGTAACTTTCTTGTGGCTGGCTTTAATTTCACGGGGTTTAACCTTTAATAATGCTCACCAAACAGAAAGGAAAATCAAATCAGTTAGTTACTGATGTTTCGTAATAAATCACTGAAATCAAGACCGGACGCGTATCTTAAGTCTGTAAAGCACGTATCGGTTACAGTATTTTTCTTTAAGCGATTGACATGACATAATGATAGAAACTTTCAAACGGGAAGATATACTTACTTGCGTATCTTTCCCTGGTTTAATTTCCCTGTACGTTAGCCTTAAGCTTTAGAACTGGAAAGACTCACCAACACGGAATTTAATGAAGGAGTGGAGAAGATGATTCTCTCAACCAGCCCTCGTGTCTTCGCGAGAAATCCACGCCAAATTCACGAATTTCACGAGTGCGACCCCGCGCGGGGACAAGGAGAAGGAAGTGAAATAGGGTCAAAGCAGAATGATTACAATGAAATTGTCGCTTATCGATACACTGTTCTAAAACTTTCCATGTTCTCATCGTGCAGAAAGGAGATCTTGAAGGCAATTGTAATCTCGCTTTCCTCTTATGTTTGAGTACATATACCGGTTAATTGTCCGGCTCGTTCATATTTCTTTATTTATTATCAGATGCCTTGCAGGAATTTCGGCCAAATGTATTCTTAAGCTCTCCCATAAAGATTAGCTGAAAAAATGTTCGACTGCAGGGAAAATTTTGGATAATATTTTCTGAACGAGATGTAACGAATCGAATGTAACGTTATTTTTGGCAGTACGTCAAAACAAACATTAAGAATAGACCATAATAAGTCATCAAGTGTTTCGGATTTGGATTACACCTTTCAACTCCCATGAGTGACCAAGACGAAATTTCTCATTATAATATCAGTACAATATCAAGCAGACAAGTGATGAGAATAAATAAAAATATAATTTAGGGGATTATTAGTTGATTTAAGACCAAATTCTCCTAGCTTACAACAATCGAATTGCAGGGCAGACAGTAAGGAGAATTATTCATCAGATTTAGGAAGTGAAAGGGCATAAGAAAATGGCGGCGGATCGAAAGGATTTGGACTTATTTCAGCACGGATAGATAGATTAGTTTTCTTTTTTAACTCAGTCTACTGATAGGACCATCATATCTCACATACCGGCCTTTCAAACTAATTCACTTTTTTCCATTCGATAGCTTTAGATGAGGACATTGAAATTATTAACAGCGACTTTGGCCATGTCCTCGACGATCTTGATCCTCTTCAAATTCGTAAGTACCTTGGAAATTTGAGCTGTTTATCTTACTCAATCATCCTTTTTTGATTAATCAATTAATCGACCAATTAACTACTTAAATTAATTGTTTTTCGTTGACTTACAGCCACGATCGATGAGAAGGTTTCCGTTGTGGAACGCTCAATCCCGAGTGACACAGCGACGCGAGTTCGGCGTCAAACAATAAGCGTGGACATGGGTGGAGGTTTAAAGGTCCAGGATCTCACGGTCAAACAAGACTGCGATGGAATTCTCCTGCAGTGGAATCGGCTCAATTTGCCTCACAGGTGCGTGAAATTATCAAAGAGCGTTTCAGAATCAAAAGTTCTCTTACTCATATTCCCTATTTTCTATATATTGAACATCAAGAATGTAATGAATTGTAATTGGGCCGGAAGTGTTTTGCCATCGTCGTAATTAAGAACAGAACTGAAATCTAACTCAACTTTTGCTTGCGTTTTCTCCATCTTACTTTAAGTTTTCTAACTAAATTTTCCCTGTTGTGACGGAACTAACCGTTGTGGCTACTTCTGACAACTAATGAAAGCGGTTTTTATCCGTCATGAAATGGCTTAGAGGGTATTTCAATTAAGTGCCATAGAAGCAAAACCATTTCGTAAAAAAGATTGTGGTTTTTCATCGTGGTAAATAACAATAAAAGCTAAGTTTTTTTCGTTTGTCTCACGATATAGTCACGTGTGATGTAGATCGCGATCTACATCAAACGTGACAACATCGTGAGATAAACGAAAACAA